TCGAGAGGGGGAGGGGGCAGGGTCAAGCGAGGCGTTGAGGAAAATTTGGAAATACGACCCCCCCCCCCCCCACCACCCTCCGCCGGAGGGCCGAAGTCCATGAAACAACCCTCTTCAAAAGCCGAACTATGAAAAGGTTGAAAAGCTTGTTTAATTCTCCCCCAAAACTGCTCATAAAAAAGCCCTGCTACCCCACCGCCCACAAAAAATTCGTTTAAGAAGTACAAAAGTGAAAAAGTCAAAGAATAATCATTATTGATGAGTCCTACCAAACGAGCAAACGAGAAACAGACCAGAAAACGACAAACTAGCCACTAAAAATGGCATACCCAACATCTGTTCTTTATTTATTTCCTCCACAAGACTTACCAAATTCTAGTACTACACAGATTGTGGTTCTCAATTTGCACGTAGCCCTTCAGTTGAAAGAAGCTTTTTAACCGCCTTCGCCAGCTGTGTGTTGACTGGACTTTGGCGTTGACCGTGGAGCAGCTTATTTACTATTGAAATTTGAACAAATATTCAAATGATTATAACTTTCTTCAAAGTTAACGAATTTTCAATCTCTGAAAGCAGATTTGGAAGTTTTGTGAAGAGCTTTTTAATCAGTATTGAAATTACAAAAAGTTATAAGAAATAACAAATTTAGGTCAATTAACGAGGAAAATTCGAGATGAGCACGAGTTTTTACACTTTCCGAAGCAACAACTTGCTTCATTTTCGTCAAATTCGAAAAGTTAATATGGCAGACAAAACTAGAAGATTTTCTCTACCAAACCATTGCTAAAGCAGCTCTATACGTCCAGTATTCGAAAAATGGCCACGTTGAGGATTTTTGCAAAATTAACGAGGAAAATTTGTGATGAGTGCGAGTTTTTTTACTTTCCTAAAGCCATAACTCCGTTCAAACTCATCCAATCCGAAAAGTAATACGCCATCATAAACTAGAAGATTTGCTCTATCAAATGCTTACTAGAACTGCTCCAAACGTCCAGTATTAAAAAAACGGCTACGTTGAGGATTTTGCACGAGTACCGCCGAAAGGTACTTTTTCGCTACATTGGCACTATTTCAACGGCTGTATATCCTTTTAAGGGCGATTATGTACTAAAGTAAGAGCAGATTTGGAATCACTGCTTTTCTCTTTCTAAGAAAAGTGATTGATTAGCGTTTCTCAACTTTAAAGGTTACATGTTTATAAATTTAACCCTGAAGAGTCCGTTAACGCAATGTTGAATGGTGTACACCTCCCTGTAAATGCGCACGGACACTTTCAGAATTCTCTCGATTGTTCCTGAATTGAGGTTGTTTGTCCAAGGAGCCGTAGTTGAAGCGCGCGCAACAACTAGACCCTTTCTCGGATGCGCCGTGTACCTCACATCCCTTCCGATTCGGGGTCTTACTTGAAAGATGAAATATCTCTTGGAAAGCGTGCGAAATTCAGATTCTTTAACTTGTGTGGTGATAAAACACTGAAGTAACTAAGAATTACCGGACGCCTCAGAATCACGAAAATTTTGTGTGGGTGAAATATCATTTTCATTGGAAATCCTCTGGCCTGGCATCGACTCATCCTTGATATTTGTCTTCCGACGGTGATGATCCCACTGCATCAAAATGGCTCGATCTCTTCCACCCAGCGGGCCAATACGACCCCCCCCCTGCGACGTGTCGAGGATTCCTCAACGCACGCTTGACCCTGGGTGGGTAGGCATCATGGTGCTTTTGGTTCAGAGAGCCGATAGTTCTAGAGAGCATAATTTGGATCCCTGAACTACGGATAGAATAAATATCTGTGACAACTTCATCGGAACGGGTAAGGACCAAATTGGGATGTTCTACACCTTAACTTCCTTCCCATATCGTCCATTCTTCTGAACCTTCATCCACCTTGAAGCCTCGATCGACCTTGAGGCAAAGGCAAAGGTTATGTCCAATTGCCAGGATCAAAAGCATTCCTCGAACCCGATGCATTCGAAGCCCTCTAAAAAACTCCTCCATTAACCCGTACTTATTAGAAGCCACAATTACTAAATGTCGATTATGTGATCATGCTGCCCACATGCTGTCACGCCCATTCTTATCAAGTATTGGAAACGCCAGCTCCCCCCCACAACTGGATAATGTACCCACGACATCTTCATCTGAGAGGGACACGTGGCGTGAGGTGGCTGTCACGTATTCGCATTCCATTCCCAATTGTAGGGGCATCAAACGCATGTCTGATCTAGTGTTTTACTTGGCCATCGGCCGATTTTCACGCCAAATTGCCCCCGATAGATCTATGATCGATCAGGCGCTTGAAAGAAATAAAAAGAGCTTAAATTAGATAAAAAGTGAGTTGCCGTTTGTTGTGAGTTCAGAACCACGCCCTGAACAGAACATTTATTTGGCGATCGATACCTTCTAGTTTTGATTCGAACCATGTATTACTGGATCAGCCGTCAACCGTTTAATCGTACGCAAGTTCAATAGAGAGGTCGTGATTGAGACTCTCAGGGGTGGGTCGTAAAGAATGGGATATGAGAAGGCACGTGTTGCAGTGATACTAGGCGTAGAGTTTCTCACGGGAAGGCAACTTCAGAATAAAGCGTCTGGATAGAGCAATTGGGAGCATTGCCATTCCTTGTTGATAAGAGCGGCGAGTGTGACGTGTGCCGACTCGACTATGCCGGTTCAGAACAAATCCTTCAGGTCAAATCGAGGGTAGAGGCGTGACTTGAAGGGGAAGGGGCGGGCGGGCGCGGATTCTAAGCGATGGTGGAAGGTTAAAGCTTCATTGAAAATTGTCCCGAGATCAGCACAAGGGACGGCTGGCCCGTTGGGGATTCTTTCTACTCCAAGGAAGGGTTAGAGGGCAGTGGCGTGCGCATGAGCCGAAAGATGTCCATAAAATGGAACGAAGGTTGGTTCCTCAAAAATCAATTTCAATTACTATATTTATTATAAATCTCGAGGTTCCTATTTATTTGGTGGTTTTCCAGGTAGTTCCTATCCAACGAGTTTCGACTACTCAGCCTATAACCCACAATATTACAATGGTATGCGCGCCGGCTATTACGGTAACGCGCTTGCGGCTGGCGCTACTGCAGCGTATACGGTAGGATTTTTGCGTCTGTTGAGAATCCACATCGATCGTTGTGCTTTTTGAAATGAGTCGTGACCTTTTAGGGCACCGCGCTGTCCGCGGAGGCCTCGTCCGAGCTGTCAGCTTTCACGTTGAAATGTGATCGAAAAGGTTAGTCGCTCGGACCCCAATAGTTGAGAAGCGATGTTTTATCGCGGAGCTTTCAGGAGGAAAATCAGCCAAGAAGAAGAAGACCGGCTCGTGCTCACCCGGCGATGCTCATTTTGCGAGGGTTTTCGTCTGGGAACTCGATGACATATGTACCCTTACAACTAGTTCATTGAATGGACTCGCTCACAAGGTGAAGAATACTACAAGGGTCATAGGTTTTAGAATGCACTTTGATAGATGTCCTGCGTTCTGTGGAAGCAGAGGTCTGCTTGGAAAAGAGAGCAGACAACCAAAGAGCTACCTTTCTTTTTCAGGCTCCCCAGTTCTCCCGAGCTGTGGCGCTCCTGCAAAACTTCGCTGCCAGGGTAGTCGCTCTCACGTTTCCAGCCGATCAACTAGAGGTGAGCTTACATGCTTTTCCTCCAGCTATCGTTTCGTTTTCATTCTTCTCATTTCCCTTCTGAGCGCGTCCACTGGACGTACGAAAATAAATAAATAAATAAATAAATTTCCCGACGGCCTTCTGGAACTACCGGTGCATGCTAGAGCCCAGGCCGCAGAAAGTGCCATCCAAGTTAAAAGCGAGCCGTTATCTGCAGCTGTCACGAGACAATCTGATAAGCAGATTCCTTCGCTAACTTTGCCCACGACCAGATTAGCTCGCAAAAACTATTCACCTTTATTTTCATCAGGCGTCGCAAATATTTCCATATTTGTTTAGCGTTATTGCCTACCTCACAGCCAGGAATTTTGAATAATCTAGCAGGGTGGGCCAAAAATAAGGTAACCGCGAGTATGCGCGATCAAACCTACTTTTCGATGTCATATTTCCTCTTCCTTTGGACATTAAATGTGACTATGAGGACAATTCTGCTTCTATTGAAAAGCGCATTATCATAGAGTTCTCAAAATTAGTTGAAAACCCACCATCACGCTACGCCAATTTAACCGAAAGTGGCTTTGGCACGGTAATTCACGACGTTTCAATCCAACAAAGAATATACTGGAACCTAAGAACTTCACAGAACTCACCTGGAAGTCGCAGTCACGGTTTTCGGAGGGGAGGGGATCGCAGTCGTATGAGAAGGTTGAAAGGAATCCTTCGCGGAAAATTCTTGCATTCTTTCTCAACATGAATGTATCAGTTGTGATCACTAGATGCAATACACAAAGTTTTACGCATGAAGGTTCGGTTTCCGAAGAGAAACAAACTCACGAAAATCCATTATGGACAATCGAAGGTAATTCGGGCGGAGCCCAAAGGCGAGGCATTTGAAAATTCCGCACAGGGTGTTTACGTATCAGGCGACGCAATGAAAGAATCGGGTTAAAGCGCGCGATTTCGGAGAGTAGAGACAAATCGATCGATAGAATAGGATGGAGTAGAAGTGCAAGATGTGAATGCAATAAAGCAGAAGGCCAGAAAGAGTTTTAGTAAATTCGTAAAGTACTAGTAGTGTCCAAAGTTCTCATCTTTGCCACCAAGTTATTGTGGAACATGATCTTCAGATGGCCCAAGGCTTGACTGAATCCACTTCTTTCAGACGCCTGACAGTTCCACCATGTTAAAGGAGAAATTCACGCCTTAGATTGAGTCGAGGAAGGAATTTTCAGTGAGAAATCACGGAGACCTCCTGAGGGTGCGAACTACTCCTTGCTTAGTCATTTGATTGTATCAAACAAAAAACTAATCAATCCCAGGGTTGCCCAAAAACGATGGAGAACCAAGCTGTAGAAAACAAAAAAAGAAGAGCGGCAGGGCGTAGCTTACGTCGGAGAAGAAGAGCTAGCGGGTGTCGAAGAGAGGAACTGGTCAACGCAATAGGCCGCGCTTGCTTCCCTTCCCTTCCCAGCTCTTGTCTCAGTTGTTAGTGGGCCGGCTCTATAAGGGTGTTCAACTCATCATCAGATTCTGTACCAATCAAGCAAGAAACAACTTTTTCTTAGAATGAACCTTATTCGCAGGTTTGTCCCAAGTCAGCAATCTTCCGAGAAAGCATTTCTCCGTTTCCGAAAACCAGACTCGTCGAGTGCAGACCACACACCACAAGTGACGACGGCCTCCAAGTAAATCTGGTTACTAGTGGTTTAGTGATAGCTGATAGTTGGTAAATGATAGTTGTAATTAGTGACAACTGATAGAATACAACTGCAACAGGCTAATCATTTCATTGGCAGAAAACATTTACATTTTGTGGAGGCCGTCGTCACTTGTGGTGTGTGGTCTGCACTCGACGCTCTCTGGTTTTCGGAAGCAGAGGGTAATCCCCAAAGACACCACTAACCACCTTTGGGTCATCAGTCATTTCGTATCGGCTCAAAATTCTCCGGGGGTTGACTCAAAAATTCTCCGAAGGTATAACATACCCTACATGGAAAGCGCAGTCTCTGCAACATGGGCAACGATATTCTATGTGAACCATCTACAGATAGATGTTGTTTCAGGAAAGTGAACTGTGCAATGTGGAAGATGCTGCATTGGAGGAGAGTTTGGGTGATGGTGCTCTTGTCGACGGACGGTTAGTTTCCCACAACTAACTTGCTCTTCCATTAGAATTTCATGATTCAAAACTGAGCAGAAAATGGCAGTTGGCCTTTTTTGAATCTATAAAAACTCCAAAGAATAGTAAGCACTTTTTAAAGAAACATCTGCCGACATAAGATTGGAGTTTAATGTCATTTTTGTCAATTGATAATTACAAATTAAAAGGTTTGAATTGAACTAAATAAAGCAGATTTGATGATGGGTAATTACAAAAATTTGAGGTAATTCAATAAATTATATGCATTCCAGAGGAGGAGTGGAAATGATGAGACGATTGGCCAGTAAATATCTTGCCCTGAGGCAACTCTACCTCGAGTGCGCTCTCAAACCGGACGCCCAAGGATGCCATTACAGTACGTTTTATCTAACCTTAATGGCACACCCCCCGACAAAATTAGCGTGGTTAACACCTGAAAAGACCTGGGCGCGAAAGCGGTAGATTTGTTAAGGAAAAAGGTGAGAAGTTGAAAAGCTCTAGATCAAGGGCTAACTCATTTATGCAGTCTGGCTGTGCTGCGGTAAAGAGGCATTGCTCGCGTAGAAGAGAGCACAGGTGAGAGATCACAACGAAGTGAGTAGAGCGCATACAACTTCATGTTGCTAAAGACAAAGTATAACGGACGAAGCGGTCTTTCGGAAGCGCCTAGCACCCTTGTCACTTGCATACTTAGAACCGGGATAACGGAGATATGGCGGCTTTGGCTAGGCGGCCCTGTCCTACATTGAAGGAGGTTTGATATATTTGTGAAATTCATGCAATGGGTATGGTTTTTCGATTAAATGGCAACCTCAGCTCAACTCCCTTCGAAAGATCAAAATCGAATTTCTTGACCACTGCTGCCTTCGCCCATTCGTAGGGCACCCTCGAGTCTCGAAACTGCTATCATAGAAGTTGTTTCAGCCCTGGTAGAACACGATGTGGCATGTCTTCGCAAAAAGACGAGATCAACGACGCATGCAGACAGATCGAGCAGCTTTTCGGTGGCAGAACCGATGCAGCAAGACGATGGACTGAGTGTCGCCAGCGGTATGTGCTATCAGCCCCTGCCATACTTCCCCAGAGCTAATCCGTTCTTTTTCAGGACAGCTGTTTCTTCGGAGAAATACGCGAACGTCGTGCTTTGCTCCCGATCCGCTAGTGGCAGCCGTTGCCCAGTTGTTGCTGGCAGGCCTAGGCTCCCGCAGTACCCATTGAAAACATCTACAGTACTAGCAAAGCAGGAAGGGTAAGTGGTCCCGAGCAATATACAATACTGCTGTAAAATCGCTCGATTTAGGAAGCCGTTCTGGATCGGATCCAAAATCGATTCGGCAAAAAGTGCAGCTACGTGGTGATTACGTCCAGCGCCGAGACGAACAATCTTGCTCGAAAGGTTTTGTTTAGCACCTTTGGTTTAGTCCCCTAGTTCCCGACAAATCGTCCACCGGCTCACGCGACCCCGCCCCGTATTAGCCTATTTGACTCAACCCCACCGCACAAAACTCCGCCCCCAACCCCTTAATCACACGTTTTTGTTATTATTTATTGAGATTTCATTTACTATATCCACCCCTCACCGCACCATTCCACCACTGCATCTCGTCCACCATCTAATCCCTCCCCCTACTCACACACACTGACCCGCCCACTGCATGAACTCCGCCCATTCCCTTAATTTATAGAGATTTTTATACTACGACGACACCCTTTTATACGCTTTTCCAGCACACTCATATATATTACCTACATAGCAACGCCGCCCATCGCTGAACCCCGCCCCCTTTCATTTTTTAATAAATTTTTATGGAATTAACATTTACCTCTCCTTTAGGTCAGGTCCATACCTCTTGTTTTAGCCCGAAGTTCCGGAGTCCTAAAGCCTAATTTCAAGGAATCGATTCCTGTTTGGCCAATTGTCACCCACGGACGACTTTGAGAAGCTGTACACAGCACAGTCCAACTACCTACTCGGAAGTCTTTGACCCTGCCAGTGGCCGCCGTTTCTGATTTTTGGCGCCCCATTTGGCGCCGTTCCGAGTGCAGTTTTCTTAAGATTAGTCATTTGTCATCATATAATTATTCTTCGTGATCTGTCCGATTTGTTGCCATCAATTTTTGTCGCCATCATCATTCATTCTCGTTGTCTATACCATTTATGAAGCATCGTTTGTTGTGAGTTCTATTCTGCTCAAATAAAGTCTTAATTGAAGGTTCTGAAAGCTCTTAATGTATGCTGCAGTGTAACTTACCCCCAAATGAAAGGTCTTATGTTGCTGTGGAGGGCACTAAGTGAGTTGGGGGGATCGGAATACTAAAGAGAGTTGGGGGATCGCGCTCCGCGCGCAGTCTCTCAAGCGCGCCTTGTCCTACGCCCGATCCATGGATTGAGGCAAAGAAAGTGGTCAAATAGACTACCTCCTAAAACTCGATAGCACCACTGTTTCATCAGTCGACCCTACTGCTTCTTACAGGTCAAGCGAGCGTTGAGAAAATTTCACCAACCCCACTGCGCCTCCCGCCGCTGCCGCAGCTTCCTGAAGTCCCCAATGAAAATCAGCTCCCTTTCCCATAGCCGAGAATCTGAAGGTTGTTTTGCCCTCCCCCTTTCAGCGGCAATCAATCATTAAAAATAACATGATAAATATCCAATTTCAGTTGATCAAACGACGAAAACTCTTGATTGAGTGCGAGTTTTTCACACTTTCAAAAAAAAACTTGTTTTTGTTTTAAGCGTCTTCATCGAAAGGACAGCTACTGCCTGGTTTTTGATAAAAGCAATTTATCACTTCAAAGTAAACTCTGGTTAGTGCGCCAATTCAACTGTGTCCGCTCTCAAATAAAAGAGATTCTATTCCCAGTAAACTCTCTCATTTCTGACCTGGAAGAGGAAAGTTAATAAGATTATTCTTGTCAATCCGCTAGACCTTACCACTTCTGAGCACTTTATCCGTTTACTATACGCTACTCATTTTTTTGTTGTATTCTTTCTTGGTGTTTTTTCCTAATGTTTCTCACTTACACAGGCTATTATTTGTTCTTTTAATGTTTCATATGAAATACCTCTTGCAAAAAATAATTATACTGATTTTCAGCGGCTAGTTGTCGCCTAATCCAACTGTCTTCCTTTTTCGTTCTATTGAGAGCGATCTGCTTTTCAGACTCGAAGTGTCGATTGCGCTTTGCTGTTGACCTTGTTTTCATCTACAAAACCAAACGGATCAGCCACTTTCCCTCGTTTCGCTTTCCTCACCCTTATGTCTTATCGTTGTCTGATCTTCGGCAGTACTGCGGTGTCTGTGTCCTCGTTGGCCATTCTGACCATTGCCCTGATCTACAGTCACCAGCTCACCCAAAATCGTCTTGAAGTGGGAATAGATGAGTGTGAGGTGAGTATTTTCCGACAGTTTACCTCCCAGCCGCCATTTCAGGAGCAGGCCCCCCACTCTATAATATCCTGAGTGTGCAATCGTTTCAGATGGGATTGAAGCTGGTCACCTTGTCGTCGCGCATCTGCTGCACCTGAATGCTTCCACGGCCGTAAGCCTCGTGTCCTGCATACGCACTAACAACGCTGCTGCTTCCAAACCCGAATACTATGAAAGTGATTGACAGCAACACAACGCGTGGTAAGGACTGGGGCTAATTTGACAAATGATCCGACAACACTTGTTGCCGCCATGCTTCAGCACGCCTGCCACTTCGAAAAGAATAGTTATGTTACGATCTAGGTAGCGTTTTTTCAAGTCACAAATTCAACAGTAAGCTTTCTAGAACATGGGAATATCGCGTATTCAAACGCTGATTGATAATACTATTGAATTAGATTCGCTCTGGTTAACTGATTAAGAGCAAAGGCTCGGCTTCAATAAGGGTTATATGGCGACCGAAATCTGAGCATAGAAAGCGAAGTTGGCGACAGTGAGAAACAACGGAGACTAATCGAACAAGCCGTTAACAAAACCCTCTTTCCCCCCCCTGCAGTGAAGGAGGCTGGCTTGGGGAAAGGCACGTACAAACAAGTTTTCTGGAGATGTCAGTCGTTCTATCGGTTGATACGGCAATCAACCTAGCTGATTTCACACGTTATGCCAGCCACGCACCACTTCCGGAGGTGGCGGTCCTGGATTGACCAGGCGGCCCTGGATTGAAACCGAACGCCCCGGGGCCTTAACGGGGTTTTTCAAGGTGGGAAGTTGCTGCAATGTGTGCAGCTACCCACATACAACCTCCAGGCACGGGAATTACTTCTCTAGCGTGCCTGAGCCCGACCTTTGCCTTTAAGGGCTACAGCAAAAACACCTAAAATCCAAACGTGCTAACACTAACGCAGTCCCGCAATAGATTTATGTGAACCCATCACAACTACTCTGGTATAAACGCCGGTCCGCTTCGAGTCCGCCTTTACTTTTGTAAATCTTCCCAACAGTTTTCCTCTCCAACAAATCTGAAGCAAATATAAATAAATATGCTAATGCCGAAGTTCCGCGCGCGTGATTACTTCAGGATAACTCCAGGTGTGCTTTTCGTCAAAACAGTAAGATTGTTTTTGCGTTTTTTTTTTTGTTATTTCTTTATTTTTTGTTCTTTTCCTCGAGACCAAGGGGGGGCTCGGGCAGCGAGGCCTTGAAAAAGCGGTAAAAAAGAGGGTCGATGCAAAATGGCCAGGAAGAGGGGGAGAGCGCCAGTCGCGAAGCAAGGAGTGGCAGTCCGGCCATGCAACAGGGACCTACGTAACGGGGGGGTCTGCGTGTTGTGTGATAACAAGGTTCAAGAAAAGGGTGAACGGGAATCGTAAAAAAGGGGAACTAAAAAAGGGTTTGCATATGACGTCGTATTTGAAAACCAGTGTCTTGGAATCAAGATGCAGGAAATAAGAGACAAAACGACAAAACGTGGATTTACGCTCATGACTCTTACCCCCCCCCTGCTGCTCAACGGTCGTTTTTTGAGAAAAAGTGGGCGGGGTTGGGTGTGTCGACGACTGATCTCAAAATCAAATACTATAGAGACGGCTCTTATGGCGAGGGTGGCGATCGGGGTAGGGGAGGGGTCGCATTGAGGAGCCTCGTTACAATAAGGCTGATGCGGTGAAGGTGTTACATATACACCCTCAAAGGGGGGTCGCAAAATTCCGGGAAAGTACGACGCTGACGTGACCCTGTGTGGCATCCCCACGAAAACTCGATCTTAATAAACCAGTGATTTTTTTACTCATCCCTGCAAAATCAGATCTTAATTTAGACCCAGTGATTTTTTTCACTCCTCCTTTATCACCTGGACACTAATATGCCACCTCCGGAGAAAAAATGCTTCAGCTTTGGAAAGAAGATTTAGTGAAACACTGCGTAGTCGAATTCACATTCAAGAAGCTTCTATTAACAACTTAAGGCCGATGTCAGACTTTGCGAATCGCGCGATTCGCTAGCGTCCGCGGTCGCGTTGCGGTACCAGCCAATTGAGTGATTCACTGGCCGCGACGCGACCGCAGACGCTAGCGAATCGCGCGATTCGCAAAGTCTGACATCGGCCTAAGACCGAATGCATGGCGCAGTCCAAAGGATCGTTCGAAGCTGGGTCTTTACTCTTTGCTCTTTACCAATTGAAGGAATTTTCCAGCCACCATCATCCTATCCTTACGCCTTATATAAGAACCTAAAGCCATGGGACCACTATGCAAGGCCGGCCTCGTCTAGACTCGACATACTCAGTCTCAAACCTCCTGCGACAACATCTACTGCTCCTCCAGTTCTTCGCTCGATGGATCGAGAGGGAGCAATGCCAAGTCAAGATCTGGATATGACTGCTAGTGCTGAACTCGGAGATGAAAGGACAGACTCACATAAGCCAGCTTCAGAGGATCAGAGAGGGATGGTCAGAATACGCCCAGCCATCAAGGTATCGAGAGTAGCAGAGAAGGTGGATTTTGAAAGCGGTGACGGATCCAGTGAATGTAAAGTATGCTGCACTCCTGGCCCTCCAGGACTACCAGGACCAAACGGAAAGAATGGACTTCCAGGTCTCCCTGGTGAAAATGGAGGTTTTGGAAGTCCAGGAAGACGACCGAGGGGGCCTTGCCAAGGTAATGTCAGTCGAAATCAGAAGCTCGAAAAAGAGTTGCTTTATTTGTTTTAGAACATACATCTCAACTTTGCAAGGAATGTCCACAAGGAGAAGACGGACCGAAGGGGCTGAAAGGAGAGCCAGGAACACCCGGACCACCCGGTATTCCTGGGTCCAGAGGACTTAATGGACTGCCAGGAATAGCAGGGAGTCGAGGTATGTGCGCTGAAAGGAACATCTGACTTTCGAGACAACATACGGATTATTTCAGGCGTTCGTGGACCACCTGGACTGCCTGGCCCGCCAGGTATAGAGGGCGACTTCGGAGAAATTCCTGATGTTGAACCTCCCTTACCAGGAGAACCGGGACCTCCAGGAGTAAGTTTCTCTCGTAGCTTTGAAGAGCATACTTTGGCTTCGACTTAGTGATCGAATACTCACTATTGAGTACAATTGCAGCTTCCCGGTCCTCGCGGGAAAGGAATGCGAGGATCTCCAGGTAGTTGCCCCTGCACTTTTGGACTCAAACGCTTGACGATTTCAGGCAATTTTGATTGATTACAGGTGTTGATGGAGCTCCAGGTCCGGAAGGAGAGCCAGGAATTCACGGTGCGGTGGGCCCGCCAGGAGGTGCAGGAATGTGCCCCACGTATTGTGCAGTGGATGGAGGAGTATTCATTGAACCAGACAGGGGAAGATTTAATGGATTCAGTAAGCATTGAATAGATATAAGCGATTGCGGATACTTCCAACATTGGACATAGGCTTATTATTGTCTTTTTTCCGAATAAATTATTCTCTATTGAGCCAAGTGTCAGATTGCCAAGATGTTATGAAAAAAATGGAAATATAACAGCACCCGCGACATCTAGCCAAAATCACGGATCTTGGGTTTACCGAATTAGGGATGAAGTTTCTGACTACATAAATACTTAACACATCCGACGATTGATTCCAGCTGTTTTCATTCACAATTTGCTCAATCTCATACATTATCTTGTCTTAAAGGAATCTTCCACGGAAAAAGCTCCGCCTCCATTACCACAGAAAAACGATACCTTAGGCCCCTAGCCTCATGAGCATAGCAAAAAGAACGGAACATAAGCGTTAGTTTCGATAATACTAATCCTACACACAAGACAAAATGATCACTCTTTCCGTGGAAGATTCCTTTAAGGTATCGTTTTCTGTGGTAATGAGGGCGGAGCTTTTTCCGTGGAAGATTCCTTTAAGGAATCTTCCCGGAAAATTCTTGCATTCTTTCCCAACATGAATATGTCAGTTGTGATCACTAGAGACAACATACAAAGTTTCACGCAAGAAGATTCAGTTTCCGAAGAGAAACAAACTTACGAAAACCACACTCTATGGACGGTCGAGGGTAGGTTGGGCGGAACAAGGGAACGCATGGAAAGAAGTGCGCCTTGGGGTGGCCACGTCAGGTGAAAGAATAAGCTCAAAGCGTTTGAATTCGGAGAATAGAGACAAAACGATCCGAAGAATAGGATGCAGTAGAAAAGAAAAATGTTATTGCCATGCGTGGAAAAGGCCAAAAAAGATTCCTAGTGAAGGCACTCTGAGAACCAAGTGGAATCGTTTCCTTCGCCAATATTTGTGACAGATGTACGCGGTACAAACGCGTAACAGTCCTTCGGGTTTTCCGAATTGTTTACGGAAACAATCGCATTTTTCCTTTTGTTTGCCTCGTGGGTGGGTCTCAAACCAGTGACTTATTTGTGAGATAATCATGATTTTCCCATGGACGATTCCTTTGAGGCAGCTCATACGATAAACTGGAAATTGAAGAAAGAGAAATCTGTCTACAAGGAGGCTAGGCTCTTGAGTGACCGCCACTTGGCTCTTTTGCGGCCAAGGACTCGCCCGTAGCGGCCTAGCAAAGACTTACTCGTGGTGACAAGTGCATTTGAGGAAAATTCCGTCTCAAGGAGCTGAATGGTTACAGAATTGCTGGTTGGCGATACTGCTACCATCATCGTTAACATTTGATTGTGAGAGAACTCTTCACTTCGATCGATCATACATATGTAGCACCTTATCAATAAGGCATAAGTTTTGTATTTATTATGTCGGCCATGGAGTTAATTCGTCCAAACGACCTATTCTTGGTCGCTGACTCGTCCAAAACAGGAATCAAGGGACAGAAACAAAAGTCCCATATTATGACTTTTGGGCTGTCTCCCTTTAGTTTCTTTCACACTGCACCATAAGAAACTCCTACTTGAGATTACCAACGGCGCCCCGTTACCCGTACCATCTACTTTTGATGTGCGTCAAGTGGATCTGAATATGTGGTCAGCCTTCAATGGAGGGGGTTTTGAGCGCTATCACAAGATACGGGGG